CGTGGAAGTTGGGAAAACTCGAAATTGTATGAAAACACTCCGCCCTTCGGGCGTCGTGTTTCCACACAATTTCTCGTTTTCCCAATTCCACTCGTGTTGATATAACTGTATATCAACACGGAAAATGTTTTATATTTGTTAAATATTAACGGTTTATTGACCGAGCGTGAGGTCTGCATGTAGGCTCTGTATACTGTGAAATATCAGACAGAGGTTTTTTAGGATGGACCGAGCGACTGATATTTGGTCTGATATTTCACAGTACAGACCGAACAAGCGAGGTGAGTCGATCTGTGAGCATATGCTTTTGGCGCGCGAATTAAATCGGCGAATCATCAGTTTCACTGGGTAACAATATACGGTAGGCATGCATGCTCAATCAAAAACAATTTGGTTGTTTGAAATTTTTATCTGTAAATTTTGATGACAAGCAATTGGAAAATTCAAAAAGCAAAAAAATTTTCTGTTTGCAAAGCAAAAATTTCCCGGCAGATAAACGACATCCGGGACACCGGTCCAGATACGGAAAATACGGACCACGGTCCGGATATGGGTTTTTACCATAGAAATAATAGACATACTAATATTTCTATGGTTTTTACGGACCGCTTGTCAACCACTAGAATAGAGAATTTTGAAAAGCCATATAATAAATATATATATGTTACAAATATCTCAGTTTTCCTCCTAGTACACTGTTTTCCTTCATCCTATAGTTATCACTTAATCAGACCTCCAGCGATAACAGATCGCATTATCGACAACGTAATGGTCGCACCATTAGCATATTGCTTCATCGTAACAACTCTTTAATTAAATATATCTTATTCATTCAGGCCAAGAATGCAAAGACCCTGCAACCATCGACACCCAAATATACGCTACTGGTACTGTAAACCGTCACTCACCTGGGACATTGGATGGTTTCTGCAATGACATACCTAAAGGGCAAGTCACAGTTGGTATTTCTTTAGCAGCATGCTCTGGAGCTACTCCTGGCAATGCTTACACTGGATGGTACTCTGTCTCACGTATTGTCATTGAAGAAATGGTTACTTTATAAGAGATTTTTAAGTGTTCAGTTATAGTTATACTCACTAACTCACAAAATCATGAATACTCATAGAGCAATTTTTGTACTGATTTAAAACATAATGCCGTTCAAAACATGCATGGTTTGGAA